AGTCCCCCCGGTGTACCGGGGCTCGGCGATCCTCCCTCCTGTATGCGGCTCGGTAGGGAAGGTGTTGGGGGGTGGGGGGTCGCTTACCTCGTACAGGTCCCCAGAAGCCATGCCGGGTCCGTGTGCACAGGGCTGAGCCGGCTGTCGGTGTTGCGCAGAATCACACGGCGGAGGCGGCTGGCAGAACCGGCTGTGGAGCGGAGCGGAGCGGAGCAGCCACGGGGAGGACCAGCTCCTGCCCTGCTTCACTGTGCGGGGACGGCCGCCAGAGGGCGCTCTGCTAGCGGGGCTAACGTGGGAGGATCCGTGACATGACAGCTTGGGGCGGGGTGACAGCAGCATCCTGAGCTGGGGGGCGGGGCGGAGGAGGAGGGAGGCGGGGTGATGGGAAGGAGCCGGGAAGCGGGCACAGTCCGGACCTGACATGGAGGGGACATCATCCCGGGGAGGGGGGGACAGTGGCAGAAATCTCTGCACCTGACAGTCATGGTGTGTGCCTGGAGGGGGAGGGGCGCCTGGCCTGGACATGCACACTAAGGCTGCCCATACATTGTACAATTTTCCTTTAGATTTACCAAAATCATATATGAGGTCAGATCTAAGCACAGGCAGGTGTAGCTGGAGCCAAATCTAAAGGAGATTGTACAAGAAAATTGTGTAATGTATGGCCAGTCTGAGGGCACAGATAGGTGGGCACTGAGGCTTGACATGCAGTTGGGGGAGGGGTGAGTTACCACCCATCTGCTCCCCTTAAGCTGCAGATGGGGGTTACATGGCAATCACAATGCTTCACACACAAAAAAAAACTGACATCCACCAAACACAACCCATTCAACCAATCGGCAGGTGCTGCTTTTTTTCAGCAAAAATGGGGTTAAAACAGGCAGTGAGATGGGATCCTATCTCCTCCTTGACACCTGTTAGTCACTTCTGAAAAGCAATCCAAATAGAGGTCGCTCTTCAGAGGAGTGGTGGATTTCACCTGAGAGTGATCTGCCTCCCTCCGGTGAATTGGGCAACTCCGTAGGGTAGACATACACTATATTTCCAAAAGTATTGGTCGCCCTGCCTTTACACACACATGAACGTTAATGGCATCCCAGTCTTAGTCCGTAGGATTCAATATTGAGTTGTCCCACCTTTTGCAGCTATAACAGCTTCAAATGTTCTGGGAAGGCTGTCCACAAGGTTTAGGAGTGTGTCTATGGGAAGGTTTGACCATTCTTCCAGAAGTGCATTTATGAGGTCAGGCACTGATGTCGGGGGAGAAGGCCTGGCTTGCAGTCTCCGCTCTAATTCATTTGCAAAGGTGTGCTGTCGGGTTGAGGTCAGGACTCTGTGCAGGTCAGTCAAGTTCCTCCACCCCAAACTCCCTCATCCATGTCTTTATGGACCTTGCTTTTGCACTGGTGCGCAGTCATGTTGGAACAGGAAGGGGCCATCCCCAAACTCTTCCCACAAAGTTTGGAGCATGAAATTGTCCAAAATGTCTTGTCCTAAGAGTTCCCTTCACTGGAACTAGGGGGCCAAGCCCAACCCCTGAAAAACAACCCCACACCATAATCCCCCCTCCACCAAACTTTACACTTGGCACAATGCAGTCAGGCAATACCATTCTCCTGGCAAACCCAGACACGTCCATCGGATTACCAGACAGACGCATGATTGGTCACTCCAGAGAACACGTCTCCTCTGCTCTAGAGTCCAGTGGCGGCGTGCTTTACACCACTGCATCCGACGCTTTGCATTGCACTTGGTGATGTAAGGCTTGGATGCAGCTGCTCGGCCATAGAAACCCATTCCATGAAGCTCCCTACGCACTGTTGTGCTAATCTGAAGGCCACAAGAAGTTTGGAGATCTTTAGGTATTGACTCTGCAGACAGTTGGCGACTTCTGCGCTCTGTGCTCTTCAGCATGCACTGACCCAGCTGTGTCATGTGACGTGGCCTACCACTTGCTGGCTGAGCTGCTGTTGTTCCCAGTTGCTTCCACTCTGTTATAATAATAATATAATATTATAATAATATAATAATTAATAATAATTAATTATAATATAATATTAATATATATATAATATAAGCTCCCACCTTACTGACAATAACCTCCTTGACCCACTACAGTCCGGCTTCCGTCCCCTACACGCCACTGAAACTGCCCTCCTTAAAATCACTAACGACCTACTAAACGCCAAAGCCAAGGGCGACTACTCTGTCCTGCTTCTCCTGGACCTCTCCGCGGCCTTCGACACAGTTCACCACCCCCTCCTCCTTAATAAACTACTCTCCCTTGGGCATCAGAGACTCCGCTCTCTCTTGGTTCTCATCCTACCTATCCCGACGCTCCTTCAGCGTCACCTACAATGGTGCCACCTCCCCTTCCCTCCCCCTCTCTGTTGGGGTCCCCCAAGGCTCTGTCCTTGGACCTCTTCTCTTCTCCATCTACACCTCCTCCCTGGGCAAACTCGTACACTCCCACAGCTTCAACTATCACCTCTACGCTGACAACACCCAAATCTACCTCTCCACCCCTCTCTTCACCCCCACTATCTCCGCCCGCATCACTCACCTCCTAAATGACATCTCAGACTGGATGTCGCTACATTTCCTCAAGCTCAACCTCTCAAAAACCGAGCTCCTCATCTTTCCCCCTGCCCCCCTGCCCACACCCCCCCCCCCCCCCATCCTATCCATCATCACCAACAACTCCACTATCATTCCAGCCCCGCAAGCCAAAGTCCTTGGCATCATTCTGGACTCGAACCTCTCCTTCCAACCTCATGTCAAATCACTTACAAACACATGCAGGCTCCACCTCCGCAACATCGCCAAGATACGCTCCTTCCTCACCCCAGACACCACCAAACTTCTAGTACACTCCCTGATTATCTCACGCCTTGACTACTGCAATTCTCTTCTCACCGGCCTACCCAAGTGCAGGCTCTCCCCGCTCCAGACCATCCTGAACTCAGCGACCAGACTCATCCACCTCACCACCCGCTCCACCTCTGCCACCCCCCTCTGCCTCTCCCTCCACTGGCTCCCGATTGCCCAACGCATCAAATTTAAACTTCTAACCCTGACCTACAAAGCCATTCACAACACTGCCCCTGACTACCTCACCAACCTGATTCCCAAGTACCACCCTACCCGTACCCTTCGCTCCTCACAGGACCTCCTTCTATCCTGCTCCCTGGTCTCCTCCTCCCATGCACGACTGCAAGACTTCTCCTGGTCCTCCCCTATCCTCTGGAACTCACTGCCCCAATCCATCAGACTGTCGCCTTCCCTCCTCACATTCAGGCGCTCCCTCAAAACCCATCTCTTCAGGGAAGCCTACCCCACCATCACCTAACGGCCATTCTCTCTCATTCCTCCCACCACTTCATTCCCCTCAGCCACTTCCTACTGTACCATTACCCCCTCCCTCCTAGATTGTAAGCTCGAAAGAGTAGGGCCCTCTTACCCCTCGTACGTTGTTTGTTATTGTTGTACTGTGCCATGTATTGTCCAGCGCTGAGCAAACCCTTTGGCGCTATATAAACTCGATGTAATAATAATATAATAATAATATATAATATAATATTTAGTAGTAAGGAAATGTCACAGATGGACTTATTGCACAGGTGGCAACCTATCACGGGACCACGCTTGAATTCACTGAGCTCCTGAGAGCGACCCATTATTTCAAAAATGTTTGTAGAAGCAGTCTGCATGCCTAGGTGCTTTATTTTATACAGCTGTGGCCATGGAGGTGATCGGAACACTTGAATGCAATGATTTGGAGGGCGCGGCCAATACATTTTGGCAATACAGTGTATATCGGTGCAATTAAAGTGTTACTAAACCCAGGACCCTCCATTCACTATATCTGTTAAATACCTGTTCTCATCATCAGTATACAGAATAGCAGTATTGTGACTTCTATCAGTGCCCAGCAGAGCACTGGTTAAAGTTTATAGGAGGATTTTTCATTCTGCTCTGACTGTCCTATGAAGCTGTATAACCCCTCACCCTCTGTCTAGCCATACGCATTAAACTGAGCATGTGCAGAGTGACTCCTAGAACTCTGTAGTATCAACAGATGGATTGGGGACAGTAGAAGAAGGGGAGGATCAGAGAAGACAGGATCAAACAGCCTTTTTACACAATGTAGAGGAATAACCCCTTAGGTTCCACAGTGAGTATAACAAGCATGCTTTGCTGCATATACAGACTGATTGTACTGTTGTGGGTTTAGTAACACTTTCAGATTTAGGTGTGAATCTGAGATGTTCAGAATCACATTGCATTGGGTGTGAATACCCATGGGGTCCGATTCTAGTGTGGACCAAAAAAAGGGTCCTGCACCTTTTTGGTGCGATTTGAGCCATAGAAAATGTATGGCTCAAATCGCACTGCACAGAATTGGCATTTGATTTGCACAAGAATGTAGTGCGGTTCCTGTGTGAATCACATGCGGTATGTTGCACCGCACAAGTGTGAACCCAAGCTTAATCTGCCTTCTTCCAGTGTCCCCTAAATATCTCCTGATAGAACAGAGGTTTGGAGTCACTCTACCAATGCTCAGTTTGGTTTGTATTGCTAGAGTTTTTTCTCTCCTTGGGAGATAGTGAATGCAGGATGCGGGGAGACCAGATATAGTGAATGCAGGGACCGGGGAGACCAGATATAGCAAATGCAGGGTCCAGGGAGACCAGATATAGTGAATGCAGGGTCTGGGGAGACCAGATATAGTGAATGCAGGGACCGGGGAGACCAGATATAGCAAATGCAGGGTCCAGGGAGACCAGATATAGTGAACAATGCGGGTAGACCAGATATAGTGAATACGGGGTCTGGGGAGACCAGATATAGCGAATGCAGGGTCCAGGGAGACCAGATATAGTGAATGCAGGATCCGGGGAGACCAGATATAGTGAATGCAGGGACCGGGGAGACCAGATATAGCAAATGCAGGGTCCAGGGAGACCAGATTTAGTGAAGGATGCGGGGAGACCAGATATAGTGAATGCGGGTCTGGGGAGACCAGATATAGTGAATGCAGGGACTGGGGAGACCAGATATAGCGAATGCAGGGTCCAGGGAGACCAGATATAGTGAATGCAGGGTCCGGGGAGACCAGATATAGTGAAGGATGTGGGGGAGACCAGATATAGTGAATGCGGGGTCCGGGGAGACCAGATATAGTGATTGCAGGATGCGGGGAGACCAGATATAGTGAATGCAGGGTCTGGGGAGACCAGATATAGTGAATGCAGGGACCGGGGAGACCAGATATAGCAAATGCAGGGTCCAGGGAGACCAGATATAGTGAAGGATGCGGGGAGACCAGATATAGTGAATGCGGGGTCTGGGGAGACCAGATATAGTGAATGCAGGGTCCAGGGAGACCAGATATAGTGAATGCAGGGTCCGGGGAGACCAGATATAGTGAATGCAGGGTCCGGGGAGACCAGATATAGTGAATGCAGGGTCCGGGGAGACCAGATATAGTGAATGCGGGGTCCGGGGAGACCAGATATAGTGAATGCAGGGTCCGGGGAGACCAGATATAGTGAATGCGGGGTCCGGGGAGACCAGATATAGTGAATGCAGGGTCTGGCGAGACCGGATATAGTGAATGCAGGGTCCGGGAGACCAGATATAGTGAATGCAGGGTCCGGGAGACCAGATATAGTGAATGCAGGGTCCGGGGAGACCAGATATCGTGAATGCAGGGTCTGGGGAGACCAGATATAGTGAATGCAGGGTCTGGGGAGATCAGATATAGTGAATGCAGGATGCGGGGAGACCAGATATAGTGAATGCGGGGTCCAGGAGAGACCAGATATAGTGAATGCAGGGTTCGGGGAGACCATATATGGTGAATGATGGGTCTGGGGAGACCGGATATAGTGAATGCAGGGTCCGGGGAGACCAGATATAGTAAATACAGGGTCCTGGGTTTAGTAACACTTTATGTTGACCATACGTGGGCTGAAAATTCAGCTGGTTCAGCAGGAACCTAACAAATTTTGATCCATGTTTGGTTATTCCAGTTTGTGGAAAGTCCATCAACTTCTATTGAACCGGCTTGTTGGTATATTTTTTTGATCAACATGTGGCCAATCAGCTGCAGCACTGATTAGTGTATTCTGATCTGATGAGGAGTCCTTGCTGTCAGAAGAGAATAGTGCAACAGGTAGGATTCCTTCTTCCTCAACCATCTGCTAACTGAGAAGTCAACTGAGGTGTCCTCCACTCAACTCTATTCCAACTGTAAAGGGATAGTTAGCCTCTGCCAAAACAATTGCCTCTGCAGGTAAGGGGTGCCTGTAGATGAAAGCAAACTGTGCAGCTCTGACTAAAATAAATACTCTGTAGTAGACCAGATATAGTGAATGCAGGGTCCTAGGAGACCAGATATAGTGAATGCAGGGTCCGGGGAGACCAGATATAGTGAATGCAGGGTCCGGGGAGACCAGATATAGTGAATGCAGGGTCTGGGGAGACCAGATATAGTGAATGCAGGGTCTGGGGAGACCAGATATAGTGATTGCAGGGTCTGGGGAGACCAGATATAGTGATTGCAGGGTCCTAGGAGACCAGATATAGTGAATGCAGGGTCTGGGGAGACCAGATATAGTGATTGCAGGGTCCTAGGAGACCAGATATAGTGAATGCAGGGTCCTAGGAGACCAGATATAGTGAATGCAGGGTCCGGGGAGACCAGATATAGTGATTGCAGGGTCTGGAGAGACCAGATATAGTGAATGCAGGGTCCTGGGAGACCAGATATAGTGAATGCAGGGTCCTAGGAGACCAGATATAGTGAATGCAGGGTCTGGGGAGACCAGATATAGTGAATGCAGGGTCCTGGGAGACCAGATATAGTGATTGCAGGGTCTGGAGAGACCAGATATAGTGAATGCAGGGTCCTGGGAGACCAGATATAGTGAATGCAGGGTCTGGGGAGACCTGATATAGTGAATGCAGGGTCTGGGGAGACCAGATTTAGTGATTTCAGGATGCGGGGAGACCGGATATAGTGAATGCAGGGTCTGGGGAGACCAGATATAGTGAATGCAGGGTCTGGGGGAGACCAGATATAGTGAATGCAGGGTCTGGGGAGACCAGATATAGTGATTGCAGGATGCGGGGAGACCGGATATAGTGAATGCAGGGTCTGGGGAGACCTGATATAGTGAATGCAGGGTCTGGGGAGACCAGATATAGTGATTGCAGGGTCCTGGGTTTAGTAACACTTTATGTTGACCATACGTGAGCTGAAAATTCAGCTGGTTCAGCAGGAACCTAACAAATTTTGATCCATGTTTGGTTGTTCCAGTTTGTGGAAAGTCCATCAACTTCTATTGAACCGGCTTGTTGGTATATTTTTGCATGATCAACATGTGGCCAATCAGCTGCAGCACTGATTAGTGTATTCTGATCTGACGAGGAGTCCTTGCTGTCAGAATAGAATAGTGCAACAGGTAGGATTCCTTCTTCCTCAACCATCTGCTAACTGAGAAGTCAACTGAGGTCTCCTCCAGACTCAACTCTATTCCAACTGTAAAGGGATAGTTCGCCTCTGCCAAAACAATTGCCTCTGCAGGTAAGGGGTGCCTGTAGATGAAAGCAAACTGTGCAGCTCTGACTAAAATAAATAATGCCCTTGCTATACAGTCATGGCCAAAAATATTGGCACCCCTGCATTTCTGTCACATAATGCACCACTTCCCACAGAAAGTTGTTGCAATGACAAATGTTTAGAGATTCTCATGTTTATTTCTTTTGTTTGTATTGGTTTGACACAAAGTGGAAAACAAAAAGCCAAATCTGACACATTCCACGCAAAAACCTTAAAAATGGACTGAACAAAATTATTGGCACCCTCTCAAAATTGTAAGAAATAATTGCATTCCAAGTTTGTGGTGCTCCTGTAATTTGTAATTAAACTCACCTGTATTAGGTAACAGGGGCTGACAATAAAGAAATCACACCAGCAATCAGTATGAGTTCACCTTGTACCCTAGGTTCACATCTGTGCGGGTGGTGCCGCTCCGCATGAAAATCATGCAGCCGCACCACCCGCACAGAGAAATGCGGACCCGCGGGCAAGTGCCATTAGTGCGGGCACGCTGCCTGCACTTTAAAACGCAACCGTACTGGTTCCCGTGTGGGCTGCGTTTTCCAAAGAAGTGCAGGAACTTCTTACCCTGCATGTCACAGGCACGGGAGTCCATTCAAATGAATGGGCTCTCGTGCTTATGCAAAATGTGGCCCGCACGGCCACATAAATGTTAACCTGGGGTTAGTCCTCATCAGGGGCGGACTGACCATTTGGAAACTCGGGCACTGCCCGAGGGCCCGGGGTCAGTAGGGGGCCCCATAAGATGCCCCTGGTACCTTTTTCATAGGCGTTTTTGAGTTTGGGCAAGGACACAGGGGCCCCATGATCCCCTATTGCCGGGGGCCCCATGAGTTGTCAGTCCGCCCCTGGTCCTCATGCACACTGGATGTTTTTACAGCGGCTGTCTTTAGCTTTTGACGTTTTTTTTCTACAGTCAGTAAACCCCCCAGCATGTTATCCTATGTTTTTTAACAACCCCCCCTCCCAAAAAAAAAAAAAAAATTTAAAAATTGCAAGCATGGGAAAACACAGCTAAACGGAGCAAAATGTGGCTAAACGCTAATGCAAAAACACTAATCAAAGCTGAAAAACGTGACTTTACACAGCTAACGTTACCAGCGTTATAAAAAAATCCAGTGTGCATGAGGGCTTAGGGCCAATTTACACTACACGCAATTCAGTTGCTTTTTTCCTCGATCCGAAACGCAAAGAACGTGGGTTATATGGTTGTCAATGTCATAGTTCACATCAGTACTTGCAGTTCCAGTGCGTTCCAGTTGCAGAAAAAAATGTAGACCATACTGCATTTTTTCTGCACAGAACTGTACTGGAACGCAGTAAAACACACCAGAACACACCAAAAATGGAATGCACTTGTCCCTATTTAAATTGAGAAAAAGAGAGGGGAAAAAATTAACCAGAATGCATAAAAATCGCACTGGAACGCATCAAAAACGCACCGGAAGGTGCCAAAAACGCGCATGCAAGAACGCATCTGGACTGCGTTTCTATAGTGTGAACTGGCTCTTAGATAAAAAAAATAACAAATGTACATTTTTTTGCAGGTAAAAAAAATGTGCATTTATTAATTTTGTCTACAGAAGCCTGGAAAGCATTGCACCAACGATCAGTAAATCGCTGGTGCCATGCAGGTCTCCTGTAGACCTGTCATTATATCTGCTTGCCGAACGGGATGTACAGTCAAGCAGATATTCTGACAGGAAGCTTCAATTAACTACCATGGTGCTCCATAGCGCCCTGGTAGTTCATTGAAAACTACAAGCTGACAGCCACTAAGGCTGTCGAGACTTGCAGTTCATTCATTCACGGAAGTCTGTGAATGAATGCATGGTGCGCCCGTGTGAGTGGAGCCCCGCTCGGCCGCACTGTTTTCAAATCTGACAGATCGTACGGGGAAACTTCTGCCCGTATTATCTGTCAAAGGGAGGGGGGGGGGGGGGGGGTGGCTGCAATTATGGGAACATGTTACATGTTCCACCCTAAAAACGAGTGGAACATGTAACACATTCCCAAAGATGAGCCTATCATTTAAAATGGTGAAAAACTGACTCAACCTTTCTGTTCTGTGTCTGTGTGCCACATGGAGCATGGAGAAGAGAAAGAGCAGAAAAGAATTGTCTGAGGTTTTGAGAACAAAAATTATGGAAAAGCATGGACAATCTCAAGGTTACAAGTCCATCTCCATAGAGCTTAATGTTCCTGTGTCCACTGTGCGCAACATTGTCAAGACGTTTACAGCCCATGGTACTGTAGCTAATCTCACTGGATGTGGATGAAAGAGAAAAATTGATCAAAGATTGCAACAAAGGATTGTTCGAATGGTGGCTAAAGAACCTCGATCAACTTCCAGACAAATTCAAGGTGACCTTCAGGCACAAGGTCCAACTGTGTCAGCACACACTATACAGTTAGGTCCATATATATTTTGGACACAGGCACAATTGCACTTTCAGCCCATATCCATTATATAACTATAGCTTGAATATGTTTTGGTCAATACCTGAAAAAAACTAAAATTTTGTCTCTGTTTCAAATATATATGGACCTAACTGTACATCTCCATCTGAATGAGAAGGGACACTATGGTAGGAGACCCAGGAGGACACCACTGCTGACACAGAAACATAAAAAAGCCAGATTGGATTTTGCCAAAACCTACCTGATGAAGCCAAAAACCTTTTGGAAGAATATGCTGTGGACAGATGAAACAAAATTACAACTTTTTAGTAAAGCCCATCATTCTACTGTTTTCAGAAAAAGAAATGAGGCCTTTAAAGGAAAGAATACAGTCCCTACAGTCAAACATGGCTGACGTTCACTAGGGTTGCCACCTCATCCATTTAAAACTGAACATATATTAAATACCCAGGTTTTGTGGCTGATTAAGGTGGTAATTAAACTCACTTAGTGCTTTATCTGCATTAAATTAGCCTCAGAACCCATGTCATTAATATGTGTTTGGTTTTTAAGGTATGAGGTGGTAACCCTAAGGTTCACTGATGTTTTGGGGTTGCTTTGCTGCCTCAGGCACTGGATGCCTTGACCGAGTGCATGGCGTTATGAAAGCTGAAGACTACCAAAGAACTT